GATGCACTCAGGAACTGGCCTTGGCCCTTGTTCAGTTGGAGGCTGCCACCAAGCAACGGACTATGGGGCACCAAGGCTGACTGTTAAACATGTTGTTGAAAGTTAGATTGTATAGTCATAATTTTAAAAAAGTTACGAATACTCAAAACTATCCCTTCCTAAGACTTCTGCTACACCTTCCTGTGGTGCACGTCCTTACAGTTATCTGCACTGCTGTGTCTGTATCACGTGCCTCTCTCCCCAGCCCCCGGCAGGCCGTGAGCCCGCACCACGCCAACGGGCGGAGCCTACGCAGCTGAGCCCCGTCCTCGGGGAGCCGCCATGGCACGCGGCCCCCGGCGCAGCCCTCCCCCTGGTACCTGCTCGGGTTGGGGCCAGCTGCTCTGGGGGCTTGGCCCGCTCCTCGGCGGCGTGGCTCCGCAGCCCGTGCAGCTCGGCCACGGGCAGGAAGGCTGGCTCCAGCGCCTTGGCGGCCAGCAGCTCCTTCTCGCGGGCCCGCTGCTCCCGTTGGCGCTCCAGCTCCCGCTCCCTCTCCCGCTCGCGCTCCAGCTCCTTCTCCCGCTCGCGCTCCTTCTCCCGCTCCCGCTCACGCTCCTTCTCCCGCTCTCGGTCAGCCTCCCGCTCCCGCTCGCGCTCCCTCTCCCGCCTCAGCTCCTCATCCATCTGCAGCCTGCAGGGTGAGCATAGGGGGACGGTGACCTCCAGCGCACAGGGTGTGCAGGGACCGGGACAGTCCCTTAGGGAGCGCGCCCAGAAGTGAGAGACTGACTCCCGAGCCCAAGGTTTTCGTGAAAACCCAGCATTCCCATCCGAATACTGATGGGAGGTAAGCCAGGTTCTGCTTCTGTTACTACGTAAAGAAACCCAAAGTCCATTTAATCAAAAGGTGTGTACAAACGCCCTAGAGCACGAAGAGCTCACAGCCAGGGGCTGGTGACTCCGAGACTCTGAGGACAGAGCCCCACCAGGCACCAGCCAGGAGCTCCAAGCACCCACTGTCACCGTCCCTTTTGTAGATGGGCAGACTGAGGCCAGGGCGGCTGGGCTGGCCAGCCTGGCCTGGGCTTCTTCCTGCTCTGACAGCCAGGGCTGGAGGAGCAGAGATCACCCAGCGGGGGACGCGGCTTACCGCTCCGTGCCGAGGCTGGACATCCGCTCCGAGTGCAGTGCCGCCAGGGATGAGTGGGAGAGCTCGGGTGGGTAGCGGATCCCGGAGAGGTGGAGGTGCACAGCCGAGGGGTGCAGAGGAGGCAGGGAGCCAGGTGTGGGGATGGGGTAGAAGGGCGAGCGCAGCGCTGACAGGCAGTAGGAGTCGTCCATCCTGTGCCGAGAAGATGGGGCCCAGTGAGCACCGACGTTAAAGGGAAAAGGCAGGGCCCGCCATTCTACCAGGTGCCCCGGCCAGGGCACCTCCACAAAGGCCCTGCAGACGGAGGCCGCATCCACAGCCAGCCCCAGAGCCCCTTCCTCACAGCAGCCGACAGGTATCAGCAGCTCGGGGCACCAGGCCCAGCGGAGGCCTCCGTGGAGGACACTCCACAGCGTAGCTGCAGACCTGTCGGGGGACTCGGGAAGCTTCCACCCAGCAGGGGCACCGCTCCATCCCCACTGGGGTTTCCTGGTCACACACAAACTACACGCTCTGTTCTGTGACAGTCACATGCCACCAATGGAGCCAGTGGAAACAAAAGTGAGAAAGTCCAGCAGCTCAAATGCGAATTTTCTACCGGGGCAAACTTTTAACAGCTAATCTGGAAGGTTGGGAGGAGCAGCCCCCAGTCCTCCCCAGGAAGCTGGCCCCGATCAGTGTCTGGGTGAGGGTGGGTGGGGGACGCCTGGGGGCCCCTCACCTGAAGGCCGGGTGGGGGAAGGGGTGCGGGGCCAGGTAGCCAGGGTGGTAGTAGGCAGCAGCAGCGGCCGGGTCCAGGCCGAGGGGAGGCAGGGAGGACACGCGGAGGTCCTCGGCGGTGTGGTAGGGCCGGAAGCTCCTCAGGTAGTCCTCGGGCACTGTGCTGGGGGGCACCACGTGGTGCACAGGCCGCTGGAGGCTGCAAGCAGGATGGAAGGAGCAACCAAAGGAGGTGAGCGGAGCTCCTGCTCCAGGCTGGAAAACAGGCCAACCTCCCCGCACCCCTCACAAAGACAGGTCTCTGGGAACAGGTCCAGGCAGGAGGCCCTGGGCACAGAGGTGGGCAGCTGCTGTCCTCACCAGTGGGCGCAGGCCTCCTACCTGGAGCCTGGAGGGACTCCCGGCCCAGGAGCCCAGGCTGGGCGTTTAGGGTTGTTGGGTGGGCGGCAGAGCCAGCCATCAGCTCAGCGGGGAAATGGCCGGTGGGTGCAGACGGGGCTTCCGACCCAGGGCTGAGCCACCATCTGGCGGCTCTCAGGCTCATCTGGTGTGGACTCACACTGCCGGCTTCAGGAGCCCAGACCCCAGCCCGCACATCCCAACTGCCGGGCCTCCAACCTGTACTTACTTCAGCGGTGGGAAGCGGGAGTCCTGTACCACCGAGCTGGGGGAGATGCCAAAGGGGTAGGGGGTGCTGAGCAGGTGGGAGGGGATGGCTGGGCCCCCCGCCTTCTCCTGGGGCAGCGGGGGCTCCACGATGAGGCGCTCACGGCCGCCGCTGCTGCCCCGGGAACTGGCGTCCTGCTGGAGGGCAGAGAGCAGCAGTCAGGGCGGGGCGAGAAGGCAGGCAGCCGGCCAGCTTGCGCCGCTGCCAGCAAGGACGGGCTGGGCCTTCCCCCAGACCCCCGGGGCGGGGGTGCTCCTTTAACGCACGTTCCAGAGATGGCCTTTTCTCAGGGTTCTCGCCCAAGCCCACGGTATGCAGGGCGTGGGAGGCACAACAGGAAGAAAAGCAGACACGGGTTTGCGCTCTCCTCAGTCAACGGGCAAGGATAGACCCTCCAGGATCGGACATAGGTCCCCAAGCCGAGTGCCCACAAGGGACACAGCCACGCAGGGACCTACCCCGCCTCACACACGCACCCATGCCCATCCAAGCAGATCTCCCACAGGGGCACGCCAGCTCCAAACTGAAGATCCCAGCACCCTAGGAAGAGAGCTCTGCCGACAGTGCGTACACAGAACCGTCTGGAGGCCCTGCCTGCTGATCACCAGGTGCGCACAGGCACCCCAGGGGCCGGGACATCAGCTGTGCTGGCAGTTGCCAGCCTGCATCACAGATACCTCGCCCCCAATGCCCATGGAGATGTGACCAAGAAGCTGGCGCTGTCCCCAGGCTGAACATGCCGGCCTACCCTGCCACCAAACCCTGGGTGGCCCTGGCACCAGCCAGAGCAGGCAGCTGTGGGGCTTCAACTGGCCAGACTTGTCTTGGGGGTGCTAGGGGCTGTGCCCCCACCACCCGCCCACCCCAGACTCCCGGACAGAGAGTGAGGCCTGGGGCCTGGCCGGCGAGGCAGACCCCGGGGAACCAGAAGGGGCTCGCTCAAGGCAGGAACGGGAAAAAGTCGGCCCCCGTCACCCCTGGCCACACAGAGGAACGTTCTACATGCCCATCCGCAAGGGCGTGTAGCTCCACGACCGTCGAAAGGTCCCGTCACTCTGGTTATTCACGTGGCTTAACAGGAGCCGCAAGGTAAGGCGCAGAGCGTTGGCCGCAGCCAGGGCTCCATCACCACGAGAGCCCTGCACAGCCTCGGCGAGGATGCTGCCGGCCCCGGTGGCCCTGAGCCCGAGAGCTCCGGAGCCTGGCCCTTCCTGGGGCTGATTGCACGGCACCCCCCACCCGGGGTCAGGTCTGGCCACTCCTGCCAGCAGCAAAGCAGGACACGAACCCAGGCCTGTCCACCTAAACCTGCGGTGTTTCCACCACGGCCCGGAACGCCAACACCCTGAGAACAAGGGGGGCCAACACGCCTCTGCCTCCTCACTGAATCGGCACGTACCCAGGAACGACCACCACACACAAGGCAGCGACAAGAGCCCGTCCCTGAGAGGACGTCCTCCCCTGGTTCCTCCAACCCCCGCAGCCCCAGCTCTGCCCATGGTCTCCCTCTGTTGGAGTCAGGAGACGGGGCAGCAGAGCCCCCCAGCTGACCTAACTCCCCTCGTGGGCAACAAGGGATGGACTGCACCCACCCCCGTGACCCGTCCTCCACGTCAGCAGGGGTGACGCCGCAGAGCAGGCAGGGCCCATCCGTCAGGCATATTTACCAAACAAGCCAGGGCCGGGCCACTACCCCGCCCTCCTCGGTCCTCCAGGAGACACGGCAGCGATCATTAATTGAAGGAGACAGGCCGCTGATTGGAATTTTTAATGAGCGGCAACATCTGTTCCCTTCCCGCGCGTCAGCACAGCCCCTCCAGTCTCCCGGCGGGGTCCTTGCAGTGCGTGAACCCCGACTTGCCCTTCCCAGGAGGGGTGCTCACGAGGCAGGTGTCAAGGGTGGGGCACACAGGCGCACCAATCCCGGGTCAGGGCAGGGAGCCCAGAACTCCCACCTCCCGATTTCAGGAGACGCCTACACGGGCTGGGCCAGGCGCAGGGTGGACTGTGGTCTGGTCCTGAAGACCCAGGACGGGTCCTGCAAGTGCCTGCTCCTCGGTTTCCCTGGCTGTCAGATGGGCCATCACAGCAGCCCTCACAGAGCAGAGGGGACAGCGTGCAGACAGACGTAAGGGGGAAGCGGGGCGTGCATGGCAGCCGCACCACCGAGCCGAGCCCCCTCCTTGTGCTCCTCATCCAAGGGGCTGTTCCCACATCAGCACTGCTCCCCCCACACCCCTCCCTCCACCGGCACCAGCACAGGGCTGACTGCCCCTCACAGGGGCCACTGTGGGGTGGAGAGGCCCTTTGCCCAAAGTCTGGGGTGGACTAAACAAGGAACAGCATGGCCCTGAGACATTCTCCAGAAGGGGACACAGCAGCTGGAGCCTGAGGGCCCCCAGGTACCAGTGCAGCTCCCCTGACAAATGCTGCGCTGATGGACGGGCCGGGTGGCCTGGGCTCTGCCTCCACACTGGCAGCGAGGCCCCACCTCCGCCTCGGGCAGGAGTGGCTGGGAGACAGCGGCCAAGGAGCTCTACCCTCAGCCCAGGACAGCAGAGTCCTTGGAAGGGGACCTCAATTCGAGGATAAAATCTGGGGAGAAGCTCTAGGCAAACCAGGCCATCACCCCCTTCCCCATGCTTCTGACTGTGTTTGCTAAATCCAATGGGGGGGGGGGGCCCAGGCAGCCCCTGCCACAGAGGAAGGGCCCGGATGCACCACCGCCCCCAGCCCAGAGACGTCCTCAGAAGCCCCCCGCAACCCTTGGCGGGACAAAGCCCTGCCTGAAGGCAGCTGGGCCAGATGGCACCTTCCCGGCTAGCTGCGGACAAATACAGAGCTGGGGGGGCCGGGGGCGGGGAGGGCCAGCGGGCAGGGAGTCCAGTGCCAGACCCACGCGTCTCCCGTCTGGCTGGCGCCCTGCCAAGCTTGTGACAGGCACCTGGGAACGAGGTCAGGAGGATGGGCTGGGGCAGCACCCCTCAGTCCTGGCCAGGCCTGGGAGGCTCAGCTGGCCCCCCCAAGGCCCCCGACGGCGGCGGCCAGGCCTGCACCTTGGGGCATCGGTGGGCGGCTCTCGCTTCTGAGTGGTGGGCGGCCTCAGGCGCAGCTGGAGAGATGGAAGGAGGGAGGACGGGGGAGGGGGGAGCGGGAGAACCCTTCATTCTCTGGTGATTAGGAAGGGTTCCACAGGCAGATGGGCAGACATGCCCTGTGAGCTTTAAAACAGACTACTTGTCATTTCATCTGTCCTCTCATGGCTCCCACTACCCGGGAAATACCGGTGACCCCGGCACAGAGGCCCCGAGGCCCCCCATGACTCCCTGCCGCACAGGAGCTCCACCCCCGTGACTCACGTGCCAGGACTTTAGGAAGCGACTCCCTCTCCTGTCCTCACGTCTCCCCTCCCCAGGAGGATTAAATTCTCCGCTGAGCCTTTGTGCGGGAGCTAACAAGCCGTACATCATCGGCTAATCCAGCTCTGTCCCCCTCGCCCTCCCTGGTGGCATCAGTGTTTCATGAACTGCCGGCTCAGTAAACGGCGGGGCAGACCCACCACGGCCCTTCCTCTGGGGTTACTGAGTGTTTCTAAGGCAGTCAGGACCCCTGAGGAGGGAGGGCCAGGCTGGGGGGTAGGAGGCCCACAGCGAAGGCATGTGAGCATCCAGGAGGGAGACAGCTGGGAGGCTCCTGGGTCTCGAAGGGCAGCTGCCGTGTGCAGGACCACAGGGAGGATTCGGGCCATGGGCACCGTCACCAGCCAGGGCTGACCCAGAGACGCATCAGGACCCAGAACCCACCTGGGCCCAGTGAGTCAGGAGGGTCACGAGGTCAGGGTCCTGCGGTCAAGGCTGACTGCTAGGGGGCCAAGGGACCCTCTGGAGGCAGGAGGCTCTGGCGAAGACCTCTTGTCCTCGCCCTCAAACCAGGACTGGGGGGGCTCAGGCCGGGACCCGCCCGCCAGGCCCAGCCCTGCCGCCCCGTCTCCCAACTGCAACAAAGCCAGGAGAGCAGCCTGTGGGTGGGCATGGAGCCGTGGCCAAGTGACCATCTGGGAAGGCCCGTCACCTCAGATGTAGGGGTCAAGCTAGGGCCACACTCAGCTGGGGGTACTGGCCTATTTCCAGGAATCCAGGGATCCACCTCTGTGGATGGAGGCTGGCTCCTCCAACCTCCAGGGCAAAGAGACCCTGAGTGATGACCAGGTGGGGCCCTGGTGCCCGTCCCCCAACCGGAGCCAGCAGGGCAGAGAGCAGGGATGGGGTGAGGTGAGAGGTCCCCCCCCCCGCTTCCTCCACTTTCTTTGTGGTTTAATTAGTATTTCCAAGTGGTGCTATCCCTCTGGGAACTCGGCAGAAAAATCCAGGAGAGAAGTGCAGCGCTAGGGTTCTTAATGAGGAAAGGCCCCTGCAGGCTGGGAGCATCTGGGAGCTGGGGCGGGTGGAGGCTGGCCGGGCTCAGCCCCAGGGCCGGTACTGAGAACTGCTCCCAAGGCCACTGACGCCTGCTCAAGCAGGTCACCTGGGCAGGGCACATCTGGGGACCCCCAAGTGTGGGAAAGGGCCTCCTGGGGTGGGCAGGTGCCAGAAGTTAAGACAGAAACAGGAAAACGTGACCTGTGAAAATACGGGCTGGCATTTTCGCTGCTTCAACCCTGTGTGTGCAATAAATAACAACAGCTACTGTTCACCACGTGCTTACGCTGCGCAAACACTGTTTCAAGCTTTGAGTCTACCCCAGATTCATGAGGCTGAGTCCTAACCCTCAGGACCTTGGAAAGTGGCCCTACTTGGACACAGGATCTTTGAAGAGGTGATTAAGGTAAAACGAGGTCACTAGGGTGGGCCCCGACCCAACAGGACTGCTGTCCTTCTAGGAAGAGACCAGGACACAGACATACGCACAGAAGGCGACCACGTGAGGACTCAGGGAGAGGCTTCAACCCCAAATGCAGGCCTGCTCTGCGGAAGGCCGCCTTCCCAGGGCCTGTGGCCGTATCTGGCCGCCACCCGCACACCCTGCACTCACCTGCCGGCTCTCACTCCTCCAGACGCCGTTGACGGTCTTGGTGGGGGCGATGGTCACTACGGGGGGTGTGCTGGGGACGCTGTGGCCCCCGGGGGGGACGATGATGGGGCCCATGGGCACACGCTTGGGCGTACTGGCGGGGGAGCTGTGGTTGGTGGCTGGAGAGGACACGGGGGATGACTCGCTGCTCAGTGAAGACCCTGCGGGAGAAAGACACAGTAGCTTGAACAGGTGTCCCCGCCCCAAGCATCACTCCCATGTGTGGCCCCCCCCAGGGAGGCCTGGGGGCTTCCAGGCTGGCAGGGGTCAGTTTAGTTCCTGGCAGTTCCAGAGGGTGGCGGGGGCGGGTGGGGAGGGAAGGGCAGGGCCCTAGGGGTTGGGAGGAATTCATCTTGGGTCCCAAGAAAGAAGGCACCCATATTAAGCCAAGCTGGCCAGCAGCACAAAGGGCGGAGAGGAGGGGCCGTGTGTGAGGAAGGGGTGACAGGGTCCGGGTGCGTTGGCGCCCCCAAGCCCAGCAGGCACCAGGCTCGCCCCGATGCCTCCTGCCGTGTCTCTGGTCCGTGACTGAGGCATATCCTGGCAGAGGGGTAGCAGAGCGGCCCCTGGAGCTCTGCTGTTTGGGGTGGCTTCCTGAGAGCCACACCCAGGCCCAACGAGGTTCAGTCGTGGGCATACCCACACCCTGCACTGTTTTGGGCTGCAGCCTGGGGGTGGAAGGGACCCCCGCACATACTCACACAGAAGCCCCTCTGGCACGCAGGTCCGCGACACAGACCCAAGGCAAACCCCACCTCGTCTGAGAGCCACGGAGAGCTCCCGGGGCCCTGTGTCTGGGGCAGGCCAAATAGGGGACTTTATTCCACGGCACAGCTTCAACAAATTCTAGGCACCACGTTTGCCCACAGTCACAGGGGCTGCGTGGGCTCACGTGGCCAGAGGTGGAGGCACTGGGACCTGAACACTCCTCCTATGGCTTTGATTTGGGGTGGATGCCAGCCTAGATCTGGGCGGATCTGGCTACAGAGGACCCCCATCTTGCAAATACTCCCCTCTGAGGGGGCCCACTGGGGGCTCCTGCAACCCTGGGGGTGGGGGAGGAAGACGGGGCCAGCACGGATGCTGAGGGCCCACAGCTGTCTGGACAGAGCTCTGCCCTGGCCAGGGTGCTCCCGGCTGGGCAGCTCCAGTGTGACTCCCTAGGCTTGTGCGTGGCTCACACACTGTGCAGGGCAGCCCCACGAAGAGACACCAGGTCCAGCCAGATCTGCCCCCAGCCGAGCTGCTCGGCGACCGCGGGAACACCACCAAGTCCAGGCACCCCCTCACTCCCAGCTCCCACCCATCAGCGTCTGGCAACAAGGACAGTGAGCCGTCACCTGAAGGCTGCTGCCCCTGAGGTGTGACTCAACTCCCCAGATGGACTCGCTAACCTCAGCCCACGCACCAGCAGTTCTGCAACCCCAAAGTGGCCAGGGCCAACCACTGAGACCGAGCCCTGGGTCCAAGTCCCAGCCATGCCGCCCAGTGGCTGGGGCAAGCTCCGTGGCTCTGGGTCAGATGTCATTACTGCCCACAGACAGCCAATGGCAGACAACAAGGCCACCTTCCTTTCCCAGGGGGGCAGCCCCCAAGATTTTGAAACAAGCTACACCTGACAAGCAGATGAGAAGCCAGCCTCGGGACAGCAGCAAGAGGCGGGTCTCGGCTGACCCGGCCAGCCCTGGGGCGTGGAGCTGGCCGCTGCCATCCATCACAAGTCAGCACAGGGCATCCCTGCTCCCTCACCAGGTTTGCTCAACCTGGGGACACTGGGTACATCTTCCAAAGCACCATCTCTGCCCACACCAGGGCCAGGTAACCCCTTGCCCGGGGACCTGGCTGCCATCCACCAAAGACACAGGCCCAGCAGCTCCAAAGGGAAACTCAGAACGGGGGCCCCTGGGGGGGGCAGTAAAAAGCCACCAGAGCCCCCAGCCATGCAGGTGGGTGGCACAAATCCCACTGAGCGAGGAAGACAAAAAACGGGATCCAGATGCTGTACCCGGTGCGGGCAGAATGGCGGCCAGGGCCTCACCGTTTCCTGATCAGACGTGGTTCGCTCTGAAAATCCGCCTTGCCGGACACTTACGGTCTAATTTAAATGTCAGGAGAAGCGGGGGGAAACCAGGCGAGAAATCTTTCTCTTTAAAAAAGGAACTTCCATGGAATTCCTACTGCTCTTTTTTTGGTCATGATGGCTTTACTGAGCTGTAACTCTCTCGTCTGACGCTCACCCACATCAAGTACGCAATTCACTAGTTTTTAGTACATCACAGCCGTGCCACCAGCACCAGTCAACACTCGAACCTCTCCTTCTCCCCAAAGAGAAACCCTGTCCCCATCAGCAGTCCCTGTCATCTCTGCCAGCTCTTGGCAACCACCCACCTGCTCTCTGTCCCCATAAATCTGCCTCTTCTGGACATTTCATGGAAACGGAATTTCATGGCCTGTTGGGCCCGGCTTTGTCCTCTCAGCATGATGCCTCCATGGCTCGTGTACAGGGACGCCCGAGTCAGGACATCATTCCTTTTCCTGGCCGAGTAATATCCCACCATACGGATGGACTGCATTTTGTTCAACTGGTCATCTGTCCGTGGACACTGGGGTGTGTCCACCTCTGGGCTCCTGGGGAGGGTCCTACCCTGACTGCTGCTCACACTCCCCCCACCCTCAGCCCCAGGTGCATGGACGCCTTGGAGGACCTACTGTGTGCCCGGCCTGCACCCCGGACTGCCCTGTGGAAACTCTGCTTGTGGAGGGACGAAAGTACTGTGAAGTTAAAAAAGTAAAGAAACAAACAAAAACAAACACAAGAGCCCCCAGCAGTCAAGACAGAGGTTGCAGTGCCTGGAGGAAAAGCTGGAGTCAAGGTCAGGGGGCTCTGCTCCTTAAGGGACCAGGCAGAGGGAGGGGAGGCTGAGAGCAGACCTTTCAGAGCCCCGCCTGCTGCAGTCCCTGGGGCCTCGCAACCAGGAGAGTCTGACGGCTCAGGGGTCACATCATGTGCATGTGGGGACTCAGGGCCACCTGGCTCCCGCCTGGCTGCACCCTGCCACCTCTCAGCCCACCCTCCCAGCCTCCGCCCCCGTGCCATTAGCTCGGTCTCTCCGATCCACCTCATTTCTAAATGCGGGGGAGTGAGGAAGCAGGAGGGGCCAGCGAGAGACCGGGAGCCCAGGGGCCAGGTGTGCCTGCCCGCGGAGGCCTCGGGCAATTAGCAGCCTCGCCCCTTGGGGGTGGGCCGGACAGGCTGTCACTCCGCAGCCAGATCGATCCCTTACCATGCACCCGCCAATTAGCGTGATCGGCCAGACCCCCGTTCTCAGAGCGGCTGCGAAGGCAGTAATTAACTGGCGGTATGCGGCCAGAGTCAGCAAGACGCATGTGGATGGGAGATGACAGGCGGCAGGGCGTCACCTCTGTCATCTGACCTCACGGATTAGCGCCCGAGGCCGCCTGGGCACATGTAATTAACAGCTGAGACCCCAACATCGTGGCAAGGGGAGCAGGACGGAGGCTGGAAATAAAACTACAACAACACAGACGCCCATGGACTTCCTAGATGCCTGCTCGGCCAGCCATGCAAACAGCCGTTAAGCACCTACTGGATGCCCTTAACAAGGACTTCTGTGCCAGGACCACCCCTGCCTGGCACACTGGTGGGTGGTGGTGGTGGGGCAAGGCCAGGCCTCAGTCACACCGCACGCACCCTGCATCCCTGGCACACTGCAGAGTGAGTCAGGCCACCTCACTCAGGGCAGGGACAGAGAGCAGATGACGGACAGTGACGACCTGATGTGTTCCCTGAAACTGGACCCTTGGGACACCTTCCTGAGATGCCCACTCCTGTGGCCGGAGTCACTCCAGGCTTCGCAGGGCTGGAGAGGCCCACGCCGCAGGGACAGCTGGGGTGCCGGCTGCAGGTGGCCGTGACAGGTCTGGGGTGGGGACCAAGCAGCAGCGCAGGCAGCCACCTGCGACCCTCAGACACAACCACGTGAGAGGCACAGAGACGAAGTCCCCACCGCCAGCCCACGGAGGCAGGGAGTGGGGTGAGAGCCCCCTGGACTCCCCACAGGCCTGGCAGAGGGGCCAGCCGGGTACTCGGTGTGCACAGGGCTGCCCTCGGCCGCACAAAGGTCGATGGCTCCACCAACCTACAGCTCAGGGAGAACCCCTGGGAAAGAGCCCCACAGGCTGCACAGGCCTGCTTCCCTCCCTGGCCCGGGGCACTCCCGACCGGCCTGCCAGCCTCTCCACGGTCGGAGCAGCCGGGGCCCTGTCCACCCACCACGCTGTCCGTGGAGCTCTCACCCCGCCTCATGCCTCCAGCCAGCGGTACGCTCCTGTCCCCAGCGCACCATCATGTGATGGTCACTAAGCCCCAGCCAGCAAAGGCAAGGGTGATCTTTATCACGAGATGCGTTTTCAGGGGCCAATTATTTGACAGTGAGCAGGACGGGGGCTGGGAGGATGGTGGGTTCCCGTGTTGCCTGTGAAGGTACATGAGGGGCAGAGAGGGGGTACACGAGGGAGAAGGGGGGAAGGTGGGCCGAAGGGAGGCAGAGGGGGCTTCTGGGAGGTGTCAGGGGAAGTCACTGTTGCACCAACATGGCCTGGGGAGGCGTCCTGTCCAAATGCCCCAGAGCCAGGCATCACCCACTAACCCTTCCTCTCCCATCTGGCTCCCTGCAGAGGGCAAGCCCAGCTCCTTTCCATAGGCCTCATTCTCCTCCAAATCCCTGGGCTGGAAGACAGAGAAGGACAAGGTGCCAAGACGCCCCTGCGCTCACACCCATGCGACACGACAGACGGGGCTGCAGACGCCCCAGGAAGTGCTGCGCTGCCAAGCCCTGCGGCCACGCACCCAGAACACATGCCGTTGAGCGTGCCGGGCGGGATCTTTTCTCCCCTCATCTGTTCAGCTATTTTCTTTAAAAGAAGCAGATTTCAGGAGGCCCAACAGGAGAGCCCCGCCTCCCGCCTCACTCCGGCTGGCTGTGTGACGGCACCGCTGCTGGGCAGAGTCGCACCCCCAACCTCGACAGAGCGGGGAGTGCTCCCAGGCCTCCCAGGAACAGGACCTCGGTCTAGGAGGCTCCGGGGGCCCAGCGGAGACCAGACCCACCCGCAAAGCCAGCCGCGAGGCGAGGCCTGC